ATTAATAAATATGAGAAATAGGTCTTATATTTAAGATTAAAATCAATTCAACAATTTGGTCTATATTGAGGATCTAAGGAGTAGTAAGTAAGTCATAGATAAGGAATTAATTTATAACTAAAGATCATATTTACATATCATTTGGTATGATATTAACAAGTCATCCCATGATATTTTATTATACATTCCATTTGGTTCTTAATATATGAGTTAAATAACTAATTTGTAAATATTTAAAAACTAATATAATTAGTTATTTATTAAAAATATGTGTTAATTTTCATAAAATGTCCTATTTAATTATCTGTATTGCAAAACAACCTCTTGATTAGAAGCCCATTAACATATGTAATCAATATAAATGATTTGGAATAAAAACATATTTAGGAGATAAGGTAGATTAAGGTATTATAAAAGTCAAAATATATCTTTAATAAGCTGTTATATTTAGGATCAGAGAGAATGTGTAAGATCTTTAGATGGTTAAATTCCTATAGATTTCACCACAAAAAAAAAATCTAAATTAAACAAGTTGAAAAAAAACTACCAAAATATTTAAAAGTAAGAAGATTAGTACATGCAGTTAACTTATGGATCTTCTCAATAAATAATAGGCGAAACCAAAAAAAGGAGGAGGAAAAAAAGTCAGCAGCAGCTTTTTCCATCACATACCCTACAGCTTCCTTGTAATTATTCCACAATTCTGAAACCATCTTCGTTACCATCTCCGAGATTTCCCCAGACATCTCTGCAACGTAGTTCACTGATTCATCAAACGATGTCTTCATTTTCTCGGAAAGTGTCGTCACAACTTCTCCGAACACATCCATTGATCCTGTCACACCATCCTTCACAATCTCAAACACTGTCGTCAAGATGAAGCTCACTGATTCCACCGCCAGGCTCATCAGAAACTCGAAAATCCCCCGGATAGCCTCCGTCGCCTGCTGAAACCCGCCGCGCACCGCCTCGCCAGGAAACTTCAGACCGTGGATCAGCAACACCAGCAGGTGAGCTATGGAGGAGAAGATGAGACGAGTTAGGATGCTCCATAGGGTTATGACACCGAAAGTTATGAATCTCAGAAGAAGGATTAACATTGAAGGACTGTAATTTTCCAACTGATCTTGATGTTTAATGAAGGAAGGAAGGAGACTTGGAGGAGAAGGCAAAGCATCAGGAGATTGTTTATATAATCAAATCAAACTGAATATATATATATATATATATAAGGAGACTTTGAAGGATTCAAAAGTCAGATATTGTGATGATGTTTATGGGTTAATAAGGAAGAAGGTAAACCCTAGAAGGTGATTGGATAGAGAAGCTTCCTGTGGGATGAAGCTGATGAATTTATTGGTTGTTGCTTTGCTTAAATAACTCACATCTTCTCATGAAACTTGCAAGGTTTAAACGATGGAAACTATACATGGTTTCAACTGTCTGGTCAATTAAGCAATCTAAATAGTAAAAAGGAAAAAAAAAAAAAGTGTCGTTTGCTTCCATTTATTTATATATTTTTAGAATAATTTATAACTTTTTTGGATATTTTAAATTATATATAAACCACACTTAAATTTTGAAAATTATAATCTTTTCAGTAAATTAAAGATCATCCACTGTTTTTCTTAAATAAACCATTGATGTCTAACATTATATTTTAGGTTATGTCTAACATTAACTCTTCTCAGCTCTCATTGTTTTATTATTATTATTATACTACTACTACAACAACGACAACGACAACGACAATAATTTTTTAATTTATAATAAAAAATAATTGATAGGACTAATTAATTATAATTTTCGAGAGGATTCGAATAGAAACAAACAAAGGAGCCGAAACTGTAAACGTACGCAAAGTAGCAAGTGTAGTAAAAGTGGAGATAGTGAATGATCTTCCAAAATAATAATAAAATATTTTTCATAAAAATTTTTGCCCAGAAAAATGATAGCTTAGATAATATATATTAACTTTTATTAAAATCACATGAACATTTTTTGCGATCTTACAATTGCTATGATTTAATAATAAAACTAGGATGCATATATGACTTCCTTTCCATTAATTAGCTTTTTTTCAAAATCATGAATACTCCCTTTTATTTTTAGAAGAAATCTATGTATACGTAGAAAATAAAAATGGACTCTTTACAATGAGAAAACCATTTAGAATTTTGCATTATTCATATTTTATTCCAAGAAGAGATCCGTAAGCTTTGAAAATAAAACATAATCTGTATGATTCTGGGACAAATCAAAATATATATTAATTTTGAAAGGCATGAGTATATTATTTGAGGAGAAAAAACTTGAAATATAAGTTCTCTTTTAATAATTTTTATAGCCTATAATCCTAAATAATTTGAAGCATTGAAAAAATGGGGAAGCTCCACTTGAACTTTAAATAATTTTAAATTAGTGTAAAAAAAATTTAAAATGCCCATATTTCAAAAAAAAAAAAAAAAGAAAACTAGTTGGCTCATTATCGTTGTTAAGGGAAAACTCTAAATTATATATGCCTTCTAGAGGGTTTATTACGTCCCTTTATTAAATAAATTTAAATGCAAGGCTTCATTACAGAACATGTACGCAACAAGACCTAAAAAGACAAAAGGGCCATGAAATGAAAATTAATCCCATGGTCATATTTGTTTGGCCACCAATCCTATGGTCATTTTCAAACATTGAAAACAGAAATTTGTATTTAAAAGTTATTTCAAAATTATTATTATTTATGTCAGTAGACTATGACAATTACCAATTTAATTCTCTCCAGTCCTAACCAAGGGTTGACACGTAGTTCTGAACATAAGATTTTTATTTACTTTATTTATTATATTTATTATTTTTTAAAAATTAATTTATTTAACTTATAAACTTACATATAGTCTAATATTATATAAAATATTTTAGAGAGATTATTAGCTAGTTTATTTAACTTCACTAATTTACTCAATTCAATTCAATAGCTTTTATATTAGTAATAGGAAGAAGTATTAAATTTTATTATGACACTAGTGTTGTCCCCTTGTGCCTAAGTTTTGAGGCTAGATTAGATGTAAATAAACTATGCAATAAAAAAAATTAAATATTAGGATCATAAGTTAGTGATCTCTTAATCTCTGAGCAAGACCACTGATCTAACATAGAATTAAAAAAAAAAAAAAAAGACTCCAGAGATTAATGCTCTTACGTTTCTTAATATAAGACTTATTTAACTAATTTGATTACATTAAGAAAGTTAAGTAAGTTAGTTAATTGTAAAAAATATGACATGTTTTTTTTTCTAAAATGTCATAATCATCTTTCTTAATATCCTCCCTCCCTCTTCTACTTGATTATTATTGAAGGAATATTCTTAGGGATGATTTAGGAGCAATTGATAAATATAAAAAATAGGTCTTATATTTATGACTAAAATCAATTCAAAAATTAGGTCATATATTAAGGACTGGAGGAGTATTTTATTAACCATAAGCCAATCATGAAGATGAGAATCTGAATCTTTAGTGGTTACTGACAAGTTTCGCTAATTCATGTTGCTTCCATGTGATGACTACATCTGATTCGGAAGTGTGAAGTCTTTAACAACCCAACATTTTTAAGCTCACAAGGAAGCAAATTCAAACAAGTTTGGTTTAGCAACGGATGTTTTAAATGGTTAAACTATGAGGATGGAATTACATCGAGTGAAATTTCAGAAATTAAGTCATAATTAAGTTGTACCAAGTTAAAGTTTAGAAATTAAATTATAACCGAATCAAAATTATAAAAGCTAAAAAACTAATTTTTTCTATAAATAAAATCATTTCTTCAAAAATCTCATAACTAAACCCAATGGACCCAGCTTGCCAAAACGTGCCAGGTTGAGTTGATGAATTTGAGATCCATTCAACGTAAACCCATAGCCCACCACAAGCCGTGTGAGTGAGCCCACATTTCCTGTTATATTTCTCATAGAAGGTTGTCCTAGAAGAAGGAATAAAAACAAAAAGAAAATTTGCATTAAAGTCTTCCAAGAAAATTAAATACAAATTTTTTTTAAATTATTAAATTAATCTAAAATCTCAAGAGATCTCGTTACAAGAAATTTTATTTATTCAATCATTAAATTACTCTGGTATTTTTTTTAAGTGTATATTAACAATTAAAAAGGCAGGCGTTAACAAATTAAGGTGTAATAATTAACAACTATTACTAGAAGTATTAACACTGCATTTTCTCAGTGTTTCACAAAGATTTAATGCATAAGTTGTTAATACCTACTATGATATATAACCGATTGTTACATCTTAAGTTGTTAACAATTATCTTTTTAATTGTCAATACATACTTAAAAAAAAAAGAGAATTACAATCAAGTCTCATAGAAGAGAAATAATTGCAAAAAAGTTCTAATAACAACCTCAACAGCCTATAATGACAAGTCCTATGGTGAGAATGACAACCTTTGAAACTTGTTTTTCAATTGTTTTCTTTGCTTGGAACCTCATTGTAATTCTCTCTTTAAAAAAAAAAAAGATAAGAACAATTTAGTAATTGAACAAATAAAATATCTTCATTAATTTGATGATTTCAAGTAACTTTTTTGTATTTAATTTCTTTATGTGAGACCTAAATACAATTTTCTCAAAATAAAATGACGACTATGGCGTGCGAGTGTGTCCTCTGTGTTTATCATTCAAGAAAAGAATTTCAAATTACTTGATGGAGACGTTTCCAGGAGATGAACCCACAATACTTTTTGGCTAGCCTATCTTTGTAGTGTTTATTCTTATGAAGGAGATGTTAAGTATATCAGAATTACTCACTACACACAGAAATTTCTTATCAGCTTTTTCTGTGAAGAAGGAAAAAGAAGAACTTGAATACTATGATGTTTCTTTTTCCTCTTACTAAATTCCTTCCCCTCATACTCTTTATTAGTTTATAATAATATTATTCTATCCTCGCTCTCAAGTCTTCCAACTAAACTATAATCTTGTTGAAAAAGAGATGAAAATATGCAAAATGCTAGCTCATTCTGCTGTTCTTACTTCCAGAAAAACACATACCTGTACAGTCTTTAGACTCAACTGGAAAGCCAAGAATATGCATGAAACTCTGATTTATATACATAGAGATGTCGCACCAAAACCTAACTATATCACAATAAGTATGACTTTATCCTATTTATATTTAGTTATCTCTAAGCTTATATACACTGTCAATATAATCTTCTGTCTCCCAGAGAAAAGATCCAAAAGCGACTGCTTCCAAGACTAGCCTCTTCAGACTTGAATATGAAGTCAAAATGACATTGTTGCTCTCTACTAAACAAGATTCCTCATTACCAAAAAGTGCCATGCTATAACTTTCCACCAAATTCACAGCCTCCTTTGATCTCAGTTTGGCACATCTCTCCAACAATCCAGGTTGAAAGCCCATCACATAACATTTCAAGTCCTCAATTTCCTCTTCCTGCTTGATTAGCCCTTGACCTAGAGAATGAATGTTACCCATATGGCCAAAGATTACATCTTTAATTTCATAAGCACGCGCATCGTGAATGGCAAGAGCAGTCCTTTGATCATCACGGTTAGCAACAGAGAGACTCCGTTCGAGGTGGTATCTCAACGAAATCGACTTCAAGAAGTAACCATATAATATTGAGGCAACATAAATTCGAGCAAGCAAGAATTCCTGAATCTCAGTTGTTGCCCAGCTCTCAGTCACGCTAGATTTTGCTCTCAAACCGGTCATACTTGTTACATGTTCCCTGATCAAATCCAAAATCCCCAGGCTGTAAATGGACTCAAGCTCCCAGTCTTTGGAAGGCAATATCTCTAGCCTGCCATTGTATGTGCATTCAGAAAGCTTTGGAATCAGGGGGACCCTGATCTCCGAAAACTTGTAAAATATCAGCAAATACATGACATCTTGTACAGCAATCTCGCACTCATGCTCTTTCATTTGTGCTATCCTCCTGGCATACAGAAAAGTCTCAGCTCAAAGCCTGTTCAATTCCTTATCTGGAAATAAACAAAAAATTATGCAACCATCACGGAATTTTGCAAGCACGGCTAGTTTTATATTTTTTGCGCCCTCTCAAGATTATGACAATAATGCAACCATACCCATGCAATTGAGCCTGAAGAAACATAAATTCTTGTAAAACATTTGAACAACAAATGTCTTCACATTAGTAACGCAGAGAAACCATTAGGGCTAAAATTACGATACCCTTGCAGAACAGTCTTTCACTGTTGCAGACAAAGTGACCGCCATCACAAATGTTGTTGAGTTTCAGAACATAAAAGGTTAAGGGTTTCAGCTTCTGAATACAAAACTGCCAATCACTTTGCTAACGCGAAGCACCAACACATGGCTTGCTAGCTTTGCAAGAAATATATTGTGTATGAAAGACAGAGGAGAGAAAATTCACTAAACTTACAAACTACATTAATGCCATCAAATACTTTTTTCAAACCTTTAGTTTTCTTTTAATAACTTCCATAAGCAATGAGACCTTTACATGAATATGATTCAACAAGATAAGATAAAAGCATTAGCTTTTTCAATTGATTCAAGTAGAAATAATATTGTTTTTAACAATATACTATGCGCTATGAAATTACAGTTCCGAAGGAATGCATTTTTCAGGAAAGTTGGGCAATTTATTTGTCCACGAGTCATCAGAACCATGACCTTTCAGGTAAGTTATCCAAGAATCTTCAAGTTCCTTTCACAGTAAAAGGAACTAAAAGAATTTCAAACTAGTAATTTCGAGAATCATATTAAGTTGGCAAACCCACCTTGGCAAACTTCTAATGGAAAGAAAAAGGGGAAGATACCCCATGTGTCCTAATGAAAAGAAGTATTGAAAGGGAATAATTACTGTCATGTGATAACAACATGAGTGTTATAACAGGCATTTAGTACCATTTTCTGTGCAAATAAAAGGGAATCCTTTTCCCTTAAGTCAATAAAAGAGCTAAGAGCTGCATATTGGCCATGGAAGTCTGTTGAAAGAAGACAGAAACATGAAACGACTACTGCCAAGTTTATATTAGAAACTTAAGATTCTAAACCAGTCAAATCCATCTGCTGATCAACTCTTACAGGCAATAAACAAAAATTTATATAAGAGAGGCAAATAAACAAACCAAGTCAAACCCTGTTACTGCACTAGAATTTTGATTTTCTTTCGTGATCATTGTTGTTTCAATGATACTGATAAAAAGTTAATGAATACTAAATAGGGAAAACCATATTGGAGGTACTTGTATTTTTTTTATATTTTCAATTTGGTACTTATATGTTTTTGGTTCTTAACTAAATCTTTTAAGTTTGCTCAATTAACATCATTAATCCTTATATAGAGACTAAAAATACCAATAAAACAAAGTTATAAGAGCTAATGTTGCTAAAAAATAAAATTAAATGTTTAATTAAGAGAAAAAAAATACATAGGTACCAAATTAAAAATTGAGAGAAAGTAGAGGTACCTATGATACGGTTTTCCTTGCTAAATATTATGCAGGTCAATAAATTCAAGCAAAAAATGTAGATCTAATCCTACATAGAAAGATAACCCCCCCCCTCTTCCCTTTTGGGATCTACCAGGAAAAACAGAAATACACAGTTATTGATACACGCCTGATTTCATTAATATCCAGCTACTGTTCTCCCGCAAAAGATAAGCACATGATTAAAAAGTACACTCACTGAAAGCAGTCCTAGAAAGAAGTGCATAAAGGGCTTGTCATACTAATAAAGTAAATTACTTCGTCTTGCACCACCAAAAACAAAAAAAGGTAAATTACTCCATCAAAAAATTGTTAAACCATTTTTGGCCAAAAAAACAGCGGGTCTGCAAGTTAGGAGAGTCCTTGTTTGGACAGAATCAAAAACAGATGTGAAAGAAATAAATATATAAAAAACTTATCTCGATTTGTTAAAAAAATATTTTTAAGAAGCAATTTTCCCCCTTAATTCTGAATTCTGAATGTAACAAACCCTTGGCCATAAATGAATATAAAGGCGGAAAAGAGAACTAACATGTAATGAATTTGTTAGGATCAGTTAGAACAATCTGCTAAACTAAGACGCAAACCTGTGAAGCATGTCCTCATCGGAGCCTGCGGTGAGTGCCATGCGAGCAACTGCTGCATCTCGATCATCGACCAAAAGCTTGAGCTCCTCCGCCACCGCAACGTGGAACATCTGGCGGTGGTTCTGCAACACACCGCTCAGAAACTTGCCCACATGCGATTTCGGCTCTAGCGGCGAGTTCAGGCTACTGAACTCACAGGGACTCGCGCCAGCACTCGCCTTAACATTGATGGGTCTGCTCCTACCGTTGAAACGACCACTCAAACTGGGTTTTCTGGGCAAATTGCAGATGAATCTTGAAATGGGTCTCAGAGAAAGGCTATGGGTCAAACGGGGTACAACCAATGTGGGTGATGGATGGTACAGACAATTTTCCATGAAAAAGTAAGTGGAAGCTTGAAGAAAATCGCAGAGGGCAGAGAGAGAGAGAGAGAAAGAAGGGGTTGGTCGAAGAGCAGAAATATCTTTGGTTATAGATAGGGCTTCAGAGATGGGAATTTTGGTGATAATTGATAAGTGCGTACACTAATAATATCTGGTTCTGACGTTGACGCGCACACTGTAATAATAGAAAAGAAGAAGGTAGGGTCTCCGGAGAAGACGGCTCCATCGTTGGGGTATAAAGAAAAAGATAATTTCTTGATCAAAGACTCTACCTTTCCCGACCCAAATGATTTTTAAGATAAGATCAAAACGCGATCCTTCTAAATATTTTAATATTTCACTTTCAATTAAAGGTTTTTTTTTTTGGCCAACAACTCTCGATTAAAATAGTTTTTTTGCTGGAATCTCAATTAAAATATTTGATCATAGAACAACAATATATATTTAAAGAGTTTTTTATTTTTAGAAGCCCAGAATCACAGCTTTTATTAAAAATAAAAGTTAAATACTTGAGTACCTCAAACCAAGAATGATATCAAATTATCAATCTCATATTGAAAGTCGACATCAACTTAATTGCATTTAATATTATATTATATTAAAAGAAAAATCACAATTTCTTATTTTGTAAAAGGTAACTTATTTAACTAAATTATAAGTTCTGTTATAATCTTGCCAACAAATTTGTGTATGATTTTTAAATTACGTTGGCGATAGTGTAATTTAATTGAAAATAAAAAATAACAGCATGATTTGCTCTTACAACTTTATATAGCTATATATTTATTTTATTGTTACTTTTAACTGGCACGGTTTATGCAGCCTGAGCATCCTATAAAACTAGCATATAATTTTCCAATAAAAAAAACTAGTATATAATTACGTATTTTTTGCCAGCAAATTAGTGTATAAATACAAATGCAAAGATTGCATAATATACATTAATCGTGATATTTATTAAATTAAAAGTGCAAGACTATAAGGTTTGGCCATGTGGTTTAGGTGATTCTCTCCTTGTTTGTGCATTTTCCAAGTTGTGAGCCTATCAATTCTGAGGAAAGACCTGTAGTTGGACTCTAGTTGAGAAGTTCAAGTTGTATTGAATTTTGAAAACTATAAATGTCACATTTTGAGACTCTAAAATTAAATTTTGATTTAAAAAAAAACGACATATATCTTGCAACTTGTTAACGATAGAGTTGTCACAAACAAAATAGAGTTAGTGCCTATAGTGTCTCAATTAAGACCATTGAATTTTGGATTCAAATCCGTTCTTGATGTATCGAATTGTTTGATCCAGGGGTGGAGAATCTCTTTGATCAAATAAATTCTAGTCCGTTGAAGGATTAATTGCCATTAAAGGATAATGAACAACTGACTAGGAAATCAATTAGGTATTAATTTTTTATTAGGAATTATAAGGCAATTAGAATATTATCCTGTAATAAATAAGTGGGATTAAACCTTCCTAAATTGCAGTCACTCTCACCCTATAAGCAGGAGGCATCTCTGTCTTTTCTCTTCACCCAAAATGTTAAGCTTTCTAGTCTTCTCTTCTCTTCTTCCATTTTTCTAGTGTGTTTTTTGTGCTTCTCTTTCCTAAACTCTTATAGTTTAAGTACTGCATGTACGTCGGATCTACAATTCAAACCCGACTTGGTATGGTTCTTCCCACTCTATAAATTTACTTATTTTACATTAGTAATGTTCTCAATTGTGCTTTAGTAACCTAGTACTAGGATTTCACAAAGGGACCAAGAAGCATACGCTGCTTGGAAGTGAAAGAACAGCATTGCTCAAAATATAGAGTAAATAAATTAATAGAGTGCAAATAACCAGAAAAATAGAACAAGACAAGAGATAACCAAAAAACACAATGGTTGAAGTGAAGAAAAAGTGTAGAGGCACCTCTTATTTATAAAGTCAAGACAACTACAATTTAGAAAAATGTAATCCCACATATTTATTACAGGATAATATTCTGATTGCCTTTTAATTCACAATTGAAAGTTAATGCCTGATTGATTTTCCAGTTAGTCATTCATTGTCCCTTAATGGCGATTAATTTCTTCAATTGAGTGATTGACTATGATTTGTTTGGTCAAACTCTACTCTTATACTCCTTTGGTCCTTAATATAGGACCTAATTGTTTAGTTGGTTTTGGTCCTAAATATAAGACCCATTTCTTATATTTATCAATTTTTTCTAAATTACTCCTATAGATACTCCCTTAACTATAATCAAGTAGTAGAAGAAGAAGAGGTATTAAGAAAGATGATTATGGTATTTTAGGAAAAACGTGTCACATTTCTTGTAATTGACTAACTTACCTAACTTCTTTAATCTAATTAAATTAGTTAAATAGGTCTTATATTAAGAATCGGAGGAGTATTAGACAAACCCAAAATCCAACATCTCAGATTAACTAATCTTTTAATATTGACTAATGTTGATATATAATATTAATACTGTGTAAACTTATACTTTCTCTTATTCTAAATATAATAGTTACATAATTAATTTGAAGGATTAAAAATTAATTAAGTTAATTAATTATTTAAAAAATGTATATGTTGTTTTTCTTAAACTATCTCTTTTAGTCATTTGCACTAAAAACCATTCTATTATTAGGAAAGGAATCAATTTGTGCAATAAATAATAAGAGTTTAGGGAAAAAAAAACTACAAATTTGAGTGGTAATATGTTAAAGTTTTACATTTCGAATAAAAATAAATCTCTCTTTGTTTTCTATTTGCTAGAAAATAAATCTATTATACCAGCTCTGAGATCGGAAAAAGCATTGTTTTATGAGATGTGAATAACATAATCTATTTTTTTAAATTTTGCGGAATGCAATCACGCAATGCATGGAGTCGTCCTAATTGTATTTAATTATATCATTTTAACAAAAGAGGGCAAAATTTCAGCATCAATGATATGAGGAATGAAAACTAGAAGCATTATCTATATGAGGAATGTGATAAGTACCCCTAAATGTTGACTTTGTCAAATAATTCCCTTGTCCATGGTAAGCCCCTTGTTTTGACAAAAAAAAAAAAAAAGGTAAGCCCGTTGTTTTGTGGCTAATCTGTGAGCTGTTATTATTATTTATAAGAAAATGTGATTGCTCAGCCCCAGTTCCAGATGGTCTGATGGATTATTTTCCTTTTGATTATTTCTCGAGATCTATGCCACAAAAATTATTAGAGGCCAATTTTTTTTTCTTGGAAAGAAAATTGAGTTTTTTTTTTTTTACCTCAAAATTCATTTGTGTGAATAAGATTACAGAGTTACATTTGAATTTTTTTCTCAAAATTATAAATTAACCCCAAAATTCTTTGTTCAATTCGTTTTGTATCTTTTAATATTGTTCCAGGCCCAGAACTAATTCGTTTTACCTTAATCATTTTAGTAACTTTGCTTTGTTGTTGTTAGTCATTTTGGTAACTTTGCCTTAAGCTTAAGCCTTTTAGTAACTTTGCTTTGTTGTTGTTAGTCATTTTGGTAACTTTGCCTTAAGCTTAAGCCTTAAAATTTATAGATGTGGCTTGTTCAGAAAAATAACACTTTTATTGTGAATTAAAAATTTTATAATTTTAAATTTATCCAAAAATGTATAATTTAAAAAATTGTGAGTTATTTTATTTAAACAATTTTAATTAAATATAAACCATCCATGCCTAATAAATAAATATTACATTTAGTTTTTGTGTGTGTTATACATAGGTATTTTTTTATTGAAAATAATCTTATTTGATGTATTATCAAACACTAAACGTAAGTGCTTTTTTCAACGGGGATTTGAAATTTAATTTAGGAAAAATTTCGTTTAAGGACCGCAATACAGAATTAATTTCAAAGAGCCTCCAAAACATTCTGAAACTTCATTGTAGGACCAAAAGGGCAAACTGATATTAATTCCACAAAGAAAATGACATTATTGCCCCTCATGTGAACAAGTGTGAGAGAGTCTATTTGCAAGTGAGACAAGAAAATTTGTAACATACATACATATATTTATAACTGAAATTAGTCCGTGTACATGTCATCTTCTTCACCTAAAGAAGGTGTCCATGAATGAATAAGTATGGGAGAGCCTATTTGCAAGCAGGACTATACAATTTACAATATACATATATTTATTTATAACTGGAACTAGTTTGTTTACATGTCACCTCTTTCGCTTGAAGAAAGTGTGTGTGAGTGAATAAGTGTGAAAGTCTATTTGTAAGTGGGACTAGACAATTTGTAACATACATACATTTATTTACCACTAGAATTAGTTCATTTACATATTACCTTGCAATAAGTATTATGAGGGGCAATATCGTCTTTTTTTGGTAGGATTAATATCAGTTTGCCTATTATAGTGAAGTTTCAGAAAGTTTTGAGGGCTCTCTAAAATTAATTTTGTAGTGCGGTCTTTAAACAAAACTTTCCCCTCAAGTGACTGTTCTCTTCTCCCGTTTTTGGAACGTGAAATGCAATGGCCATTTCACTCAGAGCTCGGTTATATGTGTAGGCCCATTATCTGGCCCAAAAGGCCCAAAAGGTACTATGGGCTATATATTGTATAATTAACAAACCCGAAAAGAAAAACTTATTATGGATCGGGTTTTGGACCAAATAGTAAGTTATCATGGTACCAAAAACATGATCTGGCGGCTTACTCAATTTTCATTTTTTTCTTACTTTTAAGAAGCTTATTTATTTATTTGGAAATTCTTTCACAAGACCAGAGTCTGAGACTGAAACCGCGACAGAATGAATTCGATGATGAAGGCAGCTCCGATTTTGCTCTTCCTCCTCCTTATTTCGACCCTAGGTATTATCCTTTAGATCTTCTAATGATTTCAATCAAATGTTTGCGCCTTCTTTCGATAGCTTTTTTATTCTTCATTCCCTAATTCGCAGTCTGTTTAGACCTTGTTCATTTGAGTTCAGTTGTTCGAAATTCTTGGCATTTCCTAATCCTTTGATTGGTTTCGTTTCCCCCCCCCTTTCTTCCCTGTGTCAGCTTCTGCTAAGAAGGCCGCTGATGTAACTGAATTACGGATTGGTGTGAAGGTAAGGTGCTCTCTTTTCTTCAGATCTATGTTCTGTCCTTTTTCAGAATTGAAGTTTTTGACGGGGTAATACGCGCGAACGAGTTCCGGAACGTTGAAGTTAGCTTTTTCTAAATATAAATCTATTGCTTTTGTAATTTTCTAGTTTGACTCAACACATGAAATGGTAATAGGCGAATGCTTGGTGAGTTCATATATGGAAAATGTGATCATGTAACAAAATTAAACATTAAACCCAAATTTGATGGTTGGCATTATCTCAAGTGTGATGAAGGCAGGCGTGTTGTGCGTATATTGTTGTTCAATATTGTGAATGTGTAAAGCTTAGGTTCTTCAGGTTGGGTTTGTGGTGGTAAGGATGCGCACGCGCCCACATATATATTTTTCTCTATGCTACCTTCTGGAAAGATACTTCTATAAAAATTGCTTAAAATGTAAATTCTACGTATTATAGGACCTTACTAGTTCTGCATTGTCAATCATTTTCCTTAGATGAAATGTGTTGCATAGGATAAAACGTTGACAACTTATATTTGGTGTAAGTGAATCGAGCCGGTGGATATACAAGCTCCTACTTTCTTATATATAATTCCACAGTATCATTCTGGGTAACATTTGAAACTGAAAAATAAACATGACACCGGAAAATGATGCCTGCTTTCTTGTTTCATTGCCTTTCTGAAGGATGAGGTTCATTTTTAGAATTCACTAGATCATTATGTCCTGCTAGGCCAGTATTTCACAGGGAAAATGGCATTAGCAGGGTTTTTACAAGGTTAGAAGTGATAGTGTTGCAGAGGAATGGAGAAAAAGCTTTTGCATGTGGGACTTTGTATCTTTGCTTTCTTGAGTCTAATATCACTTGTCTTTTTGGCAATTCTGCATATCAATACATGTTATATATATATATATATCATGTATGTATATCAACACTATTTTGAACATGTTATACATTGATCATTGGGTTTTCTTGCAATGCCATTTGTTGTTCACTTGCTGTCTATTGTTTCTTCCTCTGTACAGCACAAACCAAAATCATGTGAAGTTCAGGCACATAAAGGTGATAGAGTCAAAGTACATTATCGGGTGAGCAGATTTCCTGGTTCATTTGATGATTATTTTATGATGAAAAGATTACAAGTATGACTGTTTTTTTGTACACTGTTAAACTTGCGATAATTTAAATTTAATCAAAGCCATTTTTCCAGGAGTGGAATGTATGGGATTTCTGGTAACCTTACTCTCGTTCATAAAATGTTTCTGGTTCCTGGAGAAGCTATGTTTCTTCACATGCTCGTTCTTTTGTTTTTTTCTACCCTTTCTGTTATTTATTTCTTTGCGTGGGGTTTTATCTAGGCATTTTCTTGTAAGAATTTTTAATGCATTAATGACTTTAGTAGTTTCAGTTAACTTTTTTTTTTTAATAAAGAAAAAAATATTTTTGGAAGGGGCAATGCTCATGATCCTGGTTGTGTCCTGCACAAGAGCGAAAATTAAACTTAAACATAAAAGGAACATGAGATGAAGCAAAAGGAAAAGCTACAGGAGTTGAGGATAAATATTTTCCATGAACTCTTCAGACTCAAATTCCTCCCTGTTGGTTCATTTGATGAGAGATCACGCCTTCATGCAATTTGTATGTATCATATTGAATCTAATATATTGTTACTTGTTTCAGGGAAAACTTACTGATGGAACTGTTTTTGATTCTAGCTTTGAAAGAGATAGCCCAATTGAATTTGAGCTTGGTAGTGGACAAGTGATCAAAGGTTTGTTACTTTGATTTCTGAATTCCTAATTTTTTTGCTGTAACACAGGTGGTGAATAAAATTATAAAGGCATTAACAAATAAATGAGTTCCCCACTGCAATTTGTCAAAAATAACTTGGAAACTGCGCACTAACTTTGAACAACTTTGACAATTTTCCTTCTACCTGATCAATGATGATTTGGGTGATAAAAGGAGTCATTACCTACAATTTTGCTGAATTTGCCTTCTCAAGTTTTTCATTCTGAAGACTCTAGAGATAAGTATTAATTAATTGAGCTATTCAATTCTGGGGGAAGATACCCTGTTGTATGTGCTGTAACACAGGTGGTGAATAAAAATTATAAATGCATTAACAATAAATGAGTTCCCCACTGCAATTGTCAAAAATAACTTGGAAACTGCGCATTAACTTTGAACAACTTTGACAATTTTCCTTCTTACCTGATCAATGATGATTTGGGTGATAAAAAGGAGTCATTACCTACAATTTTGCTGAATTGCCTTCTCAGTTTTTCAGTTCTGAAGACTCCAGAGATAAGTATTAATTAATTGAGCTATTAAATTTTGGGGAAAGATACCCTATTGTATGTGTATTGTTCCTTGCCGTTTTATGTTGTAGCTTCTCTCTCTCTGGTGAAAGGATCCATTAAATTAAAATATTTATGAAGGAAGCTTGAACCTTCATAGGAAATTTTATATCTCTATTGACATGGTACAGGTTTATAGGCTAAAATTTGAACATTTGCATCTCTATTGGCATGGCACAAGTAATATAGGCTAAAAAGTCAACATCTGCATCCCTATTTGCATGGCACGAGGGTATAAGCAATTTGTTACAAAATACTTGTTTGTAGTTGATGGCAAATATTTTTTGATGAGGTGAAGGACTCCAAGCTTGATCATTTTCTCTTTGCAGGGTGGGACCAAGGATTATTGGGAATGTGTCTTGGTGAGAAGCGCAAGTTACAAATACCAGCAAAACTTGGCTATGGAGAGCAGGGTTCCCCTCCGACTATTCCTGGTAATCTCCTTAAGTTATTTTTCAACAATGAAACTTCTTTCTAGTTAATTAAATAAAATTACCGTATGACAAGCCAAATGTCTGATGAGCAAAAGATCAGGTTGCCTGTTTACTTGAAATGACCAGATCGGTCTGTTCTCTGTCGTGGACGAGGGGGTGTGTGATCTTGGTTGAAGTAATCACTTGCTTAGCTGCATTACTTTAGCTACTTAGATTCTGGCATTTATTTACTTTTCCAATACCTGTTGTTCGTTTGATACCTTTTTCATTATGAAGTCTTGCCTTCTAACAAATGGCATTGTCATGTATGCTCAACACATAAACTTTGCATTGCAGGTGGCGCAACACTCATTTTTGACACTGAACTCGTAGGAGTGAATGGGAAAACTTTAACTGAAGAAAAATCAGACTCTGAGCTCTAGAGATGGTTCTTCCCATCAGAAGGACATGACTTCGGTTATTCTTGTTAGCTCCCCCCCCCCCCGGGGACTAAATTAATGCTTTGTTTGCCATCAGGCTCTTGACTTTTAATCCTTAACCCTCTTGCTAAATTAGAAAGATATGGTGGACCCGATTATTGCAGTGCTTATTTATCAAGTGTTCAGATTTTACAAGTTTCGGTCAAAGCGTGACTGCGTGGGGAAATCATTTGAGTTTATAACGTGTTTATTTAAAAGTATTAATTCTTTTTCCCAATATGCCAAACTAATTATAAAATTTCTGAACTAATTAGTCAAATTTTTCTAACTAATATTACATCTAATCCTAATTATAAGATCTTATTTGTAGATTACAAACAAGGTCTTATAATTAGAATCAAATAATATTTTTTATAGAAGGTAATATTAAAATTTTGCAAGGGTCTTGTAAAAGATGTGAGGGAGTAGTCGCTTAGATTATAGGCTTGCCTTGTTATAATGTGCCTTTATTATAAGGGTTAGATCTCCCCTCCACTTCCCCAAAACAAAAATGACCAAAATTTAGATAAAACCAAATCATGGTTTGAAAAATAGCTTATAAAAAAATTATTTTTGGGAATATATTTTGAAAGAATAGATTTTATGAAAAAATGATGCGATAAAGTGAGAGTGTTTGGATAATTGTTATTAGAAATATTTTTTATATGTGTAAATTATTAAAAAGGATATATATTAATATGATAATTACGTAAAAGGTAAATTTTATAATATATTTTTATTTAAAGTAATAAATTTGTTAATAATATATATATTTTTACCAATATAATAAATAATATATAAAAAAATGTAATTAATAAATTTGCTCTCATGAGTTGACGACAACTTCATCGACAGCAAGGCGTTCTGTTTTAGAAGGAGTGACCACGGAATGAATTTTTAAAGAAGAGGCGAAGCTTGTGATTCAATATGAGGGTGTTTTTTTTGTTATATACCATTGGATATCTTTTGACAGGGTATAATGATTACACCAATGATTCAAAATTTTTCTCTAGAAGTGAAAATATTCTGCTTATTTTGAAACTTTTAAATTTTGGCCCAGACTAAGGTTTGCTAAAAAATAAGGTGTTTGGATAAAATCAAATCATGATTTGAAGAATAATTTCTGGAGAATAAATTTTTGAGAGAATAGATTTTGTAAAAAAGTAAACAGTAAGAGTGTTTGGATAGTTGTTATCAGAACGTATAAATTACTAAAAAGAATATAAATTAATATCATAATTACATAAAATATAGATTTTATAATATATTTTAATTTAAAGGACTAAAATTTTTAATAATATATTTTTTACCAACATAATTAATAATATATAAATATATATATAATTAATAAATAATTAATATGTGTATATATATTTATAAAATATGAGATTAAAAATGTTTTTGTAAAAAATGAATATTTTTTACCAACAGAAGAATATTGTTTTATTTTAAAGATTATACATATGAAATACCATGATATTTTTTGAAAAAAAATTAAATAAGCACACATAAAACAGTTTATTACCTATTATAGTAATTAATAATAAACATACAACACATATATATGATTCTCTTAGGCTCCCTCTCATGTTGTGTTTGAAACAATGAAGACAAGAGATGAATAATTGGAGAGGGGTATATCCATCATAGCCAAAAAAAAAAAAAAACAAGGCACATACTCCATGAAGGCTCTGACACTCTCCTTGTTTCCCTCAAAAGCAAAAATTTTTTGCTTCTGTCAATATCAAAACTATTTTCCTGGTATTTGGCTTAATTTTTGCCCATCTAAACCATGGTTTGAGCAGTTACCCAAACAAAATCAAGTGTTTTGCAATTATTTGGCTCAAATCATGGTTTTGGTAAAAAAGCATTTTTTAAGAAATTGTCAAACACCCCCAACATTGGAGAAGAGAACCGTAGCTTAGTATACAAAATAATAATAATACAATTAATCTGATAATTTAGCAGGAATGCAGTGTATCTTAGATAAAATACGATATAAAGGTTTACCATTAAATGATTATAAATAATATATGTCTCATATTTTTTATATAGGTCAAAAAGAATGCCTTCCCCAATATCAAGTCCAATTGCCTTTTGATTTTTTTATTATTATTCAGAGTATTTACAAGTTATTATTAAAACTAATAATTTCTGGTAGACTGTAGAGTTAAATTCTTTCAAACAATTGCCGTCTCAAAAGAGATAGATTGACACACGCGGGATAATTTGCGAGTTGTGGGCTGGTAGTGCAGGACGAAAAGGCCCAGTAGGTGTCTTTTACATGATGGGTTCACAGGCCGAACCTGTTTTCCTAGCTCCAAATTGTGAGAGGGGGAGAGAGAGACAAGAAATTTATAAAAAAAAAAAAAAGGGAGGCCGGACCTTTGGTGGCCTGGTGTGACTGTGAAGCTTAAATTCTAAACTGCCGTTTTAATGGGGAAGCCGTGAACTAGGGTTACGCTTCGGGGTTTAGTGGGGTGAGAAAGAGTTGCTGGCGGCGGAGCTGATACCCCAGCTCGGTCAAGATGGGTATGATTCGTCTTTGTCTTCGAGTGTCGAATTTCTATTAGAATTTTTCGATTCTTCTCAGTAGCAACAATCTGTGTTTATCTATTTCTCTCATGGGTATGCTTTTCCTCCTCAGGTATTTCCAGGGATTCCATGCACAAGAGGCGTGCCACCGGTGGCAAGAAGAAGGCTTGGAGGAAGAAGAGAAAGTATGTTTCCTATCTGGTGTGTGTCTGTGTTTGTGCGTGCTTATTCTGAATTGAATTTTCCATTTCCTTACTGTTTGCTTATACATTAACACATTATCCTCGATTTTATGTTGCTGTCCTGTTTTTGGGTCTTTTGTTATTCACATTCATTAGTTCTGTTGGTTACAACTGAAATAGAGTAAAATTCAGCCTAAAAATGGAAAGTAGTATCTTTTACTCGTGGCATTTTGCCAATGCTCTGTGGATGATTAATTTCTGGGTTTTAATGTGCCAATGGAGAATGCGAATACATATCTTGCTGAACTTTTACGGATCTGGCTGCAGTTTCTCTGCTTCTTCATTGTGTTTTAGAATAATGAAACGAAAGAAAAAGGTCGATTAGCTGGAAATTTGCATCAAAGTTTAATCTTTAACCTAAGTCGGTTAGTTAAGCGTTTTGCAAGATGTACAAGTAGATCCTAAATGAATCAGCATCGGAGTTTCTCCATTGGTCTTCTAAGTCTCTGTCCACTCCCCCACTCTTTTTTTTTTTTTTTGGTTTCCTATCAGTTTCGGTTTTGTAAATATTGAATTTTATTTATGCTCATGTGATAACCTGAAGCGTATGACCTTCCTTTATTTTTCCTATTAAATATCGGGAAGTCTTGTATCCTTGTTTTTCTTTGTTTTGAGATTTTACCATATATTGTGATTAATATACATATACATTGTGTCAATATCTTATAGGTATTTAATTGGAATTAATTATGGCCTTTACGTTTTGTTAATATGATCGGTTGTCTGTTGTAGACTACATTTTTATTGTGATGTTCACATTACATAAGGTATCTTACTGCTCTGGAAATATTTGTGTTGACATAGGTATGAGCTTGGTCGACAGCCTGCAAACACTAAGCTGTCAAGTAACAAGACAGTCAGGAGAGTTCGTGTTAGAGGTGGCAATGTGAAATGGAGGGCTTTGCGATTGGATACAGGAAATTATTCGTGGGGTAGTGAAGCCGTGACTCGCAAAACACGTATCTTAGATGTGGTTTACAATGCCTCCAACAATGAGCTTGTGCGAACTCAAACCCTTGTGAAGAGTGCCATTGTTCAGGTTGATGCTGCTCCTTTCAAGCAGTGGTACCTTCAGCATTATGGTGTTGATCTTAGTAAGAAGAAGAAAGCAGCTGCCAAGAAGGATTCTACAGAGGTAATGTTGTTACAAATGATAAAAGGACTTTTACCTTTTGTCCTTCCATCTAGTGAGTGATAGAAGGATTATAGCTCAGCGAGTCTTTCAAGTGAGTGTGGGGTGCACAAAATGCGGGTGCAGGATGGTTTAGAAGCCGTACCTAGCCCATTACACTACCATTTTTCAAAGCACTCCAGATTGGGTGGCTTGCAATGGTTTTGGTTTTTCTTGTATATGTTTTTCAAAAGGTATAACATCACAAGGATATTGTAAGAGATTTTACTCTTCATGCCCACCTCTTCCATTAATGACATTATGACATTCAGTGGATTCACCCACCATTTCATTCAGCCCCCTTAATGGCTATGCCTTGCAACTCTTTTCAAAGCTCTGAATGAAACACTGAGCGATGTAACCCAATATGAAATACATAAGCCACTTGCTGCAACGAAATTGTTTTCTTTATGCATGAAGTATAATTTTAAAGTTCACTCATGCCATGAGTATTCAGTTTATTTACCCTTCATCTTGTAGGAGGGTGAAGCTGCTGCAGCTGAAGAGACAAAGAAAAGTAATCATGTGCTTAGAAAACTAGAGAAGCGGCAGAAAGATCGAAAGCTGGATCCCCACATTGAAGAGCAATTTGGTGGTGGTCGATTGTTGGCCTGCATTTCTTCTCGACCTGGTCAATGTGGCAGAGCTGATGGGTATGCTTAGTGATATCTTTGTATCGGAATCGGTATGCTTGGTTTGTATTTACAAATACTGATATTTGATTTTCCTGAATTTGTAGCTACATATTGGAAGGCAAGGAATTGGAGTTTTACATGAAGAAACTCCAGAGGAAGAAGGGAAAGGGTGCTGCTTGAATGTAGTCTTATTCCAATTTTCCTCTGCTTCCTTTTATATAGTAGACTTAATTGAATTTTTGCTGTATGCCACCTTTCAAGGTGCTTTTGCTAGAATGTTCCCTCTCAAGACAGGTCTTTAATGAGAACAAATTTATTTAAAATTGTTTCTTTTCCTTGGTCGAAACTCGTTGGTGATTGTTGTGCAATGGGTGTTGATGGTTGAGTTAGGGTCTGTTCGGTTGTTAAAGCCAAATGAATGAGAATGATGTCTCCATTTTAGTATATGTTGAAACGTAGCTAGTGCAAAGCCTTCATGTGAGGATGTGAAACTTCCCAGTCGAAATTGTCAAAAACCCAGTCAGGCCTTTTTTCACTTCATTTCGTTCCCAAGTAAAAGGGTCTCCTGCCACAAGTAT